GAAATTGTCTTTATAGATGAAATATTTTAAAGAGATTATTACGAAGAAGTTGACACTGAGGAATTCTGGTGTGAATCCACCATTTCTTTTTTTTTTTCTGCAGTAAGGGGCAGTCTCCTAAAGTATTTTAGAAAACAAAATTTCCCTCCTGATTTATACTGATCCATGAGTGGTATATAGTCTAAAATACTTAAAATAGAATTTAATAATGCTTTATAATAACAAACAGAAAAATTGACTTAAAAATATAATTTTTATAAAGCTACAAATAAGGTAAGAAAATTTGAAAAGAATATAAGTGTTTTTTAACAGGTCATAAAGTCTAATATACTCATATGTCAAAATATTTCATAATATTAAGATTAGCTTATAAATTTAAATATGGTAAAAGTTATGATTATAATAAAGTGTGAGAAAGCTTCAGTGAAGCTTGTAGAGAAAGCAAAAGTTTATTTGGTAGGAGTTCCACTCCATATAAAAGCTAAAATTTTTAGAATTAAAAATAAAAGTTATTTTTCAAATAATAAAAATGCATTACTTTCCAGGGAAGATATTTTCAACTGCCTAATATTAAAAAGATGACAATAAAGAAAAAAAGTGAACATTTTATTTAACATTAAAAAAATGTATGCACTAAGTTGTCAGATGAAATAATATTAAGAACATATTCATGTTTTCTTCTAAAGTCTTAATCATGAACTAATTTAAATTTAACCTTATGTAAAAATTGAGAGGCGCCAGGTTTGATTCGTGTGAAATGAAGTTTTAGCTAGATTAAGACTTTATGTAGCATTTGATTTTAGTGTTCTATCTTAAAGTTATTATATAATTATATTAAACCATTAATTTGTAATAAGCACAGCAACTTCAAATCCTTTTTGCTAATTGGCAATGCTGGTGGAGCATGAAGCATCACTCTTTCTTGAGAGTTTCATTTTAAAGAAATCATCCTCACACATAAAAATAGCAAATTGCATGAAAATTTCTATCAGGCAGTTTGCACTTCTCATATAGGAAGAGCTGCAAGTAGCTTCCACAGCACACATCACAGACAACAGCTTCAAACCCACTCTCTGGTAAGACACCATTCAGAGAGGTGCAAGGTACAGCCTGGATCAACTTAATGCTTTAAGTATACCACAAGTAAAAAGTTTTAGGCTTACCAAAAAATCAAACAATTACCCCAGAACTTGAGTGATAAATTCTGGTAGCATTTACTGCCTCCAAGTAGAAAAGTATTTTATTTCCCCTAGTTTTAACTTCTTACAAAATCTTAATTCTAAAACTCTGATTATACATTAACTACTTTATTCACATTTTCCAAACTGAAATAAAGATTATAGTTTGGCAGTGATTAGAGTCCTGTAAACACCATTAATAAAACTTTGCTATTTTTTACAGTAATTGTTAATCTACTTTATGCAGTCTGTTAATTTGAAAATCTAGTTCAAGATACAAAGATGTTTCCATTCTAATTGGTCATAAGCTCATCTTTTAACAATATAAAGTTATAAATGTGTTGGGTACATTTTTAACAGATACATTTCTATGTCTTGGCAAATAAATATCGATGGGCAGACTGACATCATAGTTTGTCAGAGAACGTGTTAACAGAGGAAATTTTTGGAAGTCAATCCTTCTCTTCCTTTATGTAATGAATGAAAGTGGAGAACAATTTTACAAACGGGCAAATTCTCTCTCATTAGATCCATGCATTTTATATTCTACAGAAGAATAAAACACATCATATCAGCCCCGCTATGGAAAGTAGGCTGCTCAGATTTGAAACTCAGCACTGTAAAATATTTTCTTTTCTTTCTCTTAAACATAACTAACTGTGCCACAGAGGAGAAAATAATCTGACAGAAATAACATTGACCACAATCACAGTTTTGCTAACCCATGAGAAAATATTTTATGATTTAAATTCTTGTATTCATCATTCAAAGAACTTGCATAAACAGACCATCACTGTTATGACTCCAACTAACGCAAAGCAAGACACTGGCACTTCGAGACTCATTGCTCACAATTAGAGGTGTTTTATTGTGTTGGTTTTTTTGAAAAGAGAAGTTATTAGAAGGTTAAAAACAATCGGCAAAATGCGGCATTCTTTTATAGATGTGAAAAAAATTACCTAGCAGAAGATAATACCTATAACAGATAACTTGGTAGTATAGGTAAACTATTTTTTCTTTCTTATTTTCCATATTCTGACTTAGATGCTTAGTGATTTGGACATAGTAATACAAACCTTTAAGTTACTTATGGCTTGTTTGGTGCCTCAAAGAAATTATGTAATATCCAGAGACCAAAAACCAAACCAAACCACTTCTGAACAGGATTTAAATGGTTATTCATCGACTGTGCAAAATACAGAAAGAAAATGTGCAGAACTAGGAGGGAAATAGCCATAGAATACTACTTGTTCATTGACCATAGTGCAGATTGTGTATAATGATTAAATAATCAGATAAAACAATTCTAGGTGCCGCTCCCTTTGTCCATTAGTTATTTCCTCCATTACCTAAAATTATGCCTTTCACAAACCAGGCATTCAATAAACATTTTGAATGACTATTTATACATAAACAAAGAAATTAATTTGTAAATAAAATTGGCTTGATCACATTTGTCCATTTTGACATACAGAATCAGAGAGTATTTTAATGTGCCAATCAGAGACATCTGTTATTGAACATCCACACAATTTCACTGAACTACATGCTTGCCACATAAGACTCGACACCACATCTGTGGCATAAGGTGTATGATACCTAATGCAGTGTTTTTACGCACATATTAGATTCCCATTTCACTTCTGCGATTTTCAAGAGTTGATGGATTACTAGTTACCGAAGGAGTCATGCTGTATGCAGCATCGTTCAGTTTAAATAAGGGATAAGCTTGCTGCGAACAACTTAGTTTGAAATGTTAACAACTTTTCAGCTGTTAGCATAACAACTAGCCGTTAATGTGGTAATGGCCGATTTAAGAGGAAATTATACTCTGAGAAATGAATGTATTGGCAATCAGGACAAGGGTTTATATTGGAAGAAGTGTAAGTTTTAAATATAAGTTAACAAGCATTAAAAGTCTGAGTCTATCAGAAATTAACTAAAAGTTATATCACAAAGAGCAACACAGTCTCTTAGAGAGATATAAGAATTTCTGATATAAAAACTGTGAAAATTCCCTTCAACAAAACACTTATGTGAGATATCAAATAGCAACTGAACATCACATTTTATTACCACAAGGCAGCATAAAACAAAGCAAGTCCAAGGTTACTTTCTCACTCACTATTATATTGACAACTGCAAAACAGCTTCACTCAGGACACAGGTATTTCACTGGCAAATTTCTATTTTTGATGTAAAAAATCCAGATATTTTCAAAGATTTTCTTTAAATTTTACTTAATTCTGTCTTTATTGCTTATTAGGACACCTTAATCTTGCTAGACTATATAAACTTCTTGTTTTGTAATTGCTGTAACACAAGTCTGCTTGAAATACCACAGTTGTAAACAAATGTAAAAGTCTAAAGGAGTCAAGAAGCCCTGGCTTATTGGTTAGTAAAGATAAAGTGAAACTAGGAAGCAATGGTAGGTCATTGAGAGCAAAACAACTGCTCTACCCAGGAGGAATAAGGCTCTAATTCAAATGCATGGAGTAGAAATTTTTATTTCAAAGATTGAAAGACCGCAGTTCTAAAATAATTCACGCAATAAATAAATTCTGATTAGTTGTGCCACCACAATGAGGGAAATCCTGGCTATCAAGTCACTTCCCATTGTTGGCACCTTGCGTGTATTTTGTGCACTGAAGAACACAGAGAAGGAGTAACAAGTGGTCCTACTTAGTCAGGAGACTGTCAGGTGAGGCAGTCCTAAGAAGGAGAAGACTAGAATTTGAACAGTACTGAATCAACCTCTTGCAACTACTGTTAATCAAAACGCACATTTTTATACATCAAGATTAAATCAGACTGAAAAATAACTGAACTACATAGTAAGAAGGACCAAATTTCCTAGAAAGTACCTCCCCAAATGACCTATCTTGTTTAAGGAGTTACTGCTGATTGATAAATTTTGTGTCATGGGGGAAAAAATTTTCAAAATAACTCACTTAACATTGACTAGAAAACTGATGAAGTCTATCAACTATGAAAATGCAAATGATGGCATGTATCACTTCTTTAATTTGATAGATCCTGCTTTATTAGTACAAATAATGTGCAGCTGAATCAAGTCACAAAGTTTCCTGGAAAGCAAAATAATTCTTCTTAAAGAGTTCACGTGTCGAGTGCTAAATGCTGGGGAACGAGTTCAGTCAGCTTCATGGATTCACAAGCAAGAGCTTCTGCCGTGTCCTGAACCTGCTCTGAGGTTTGCAGGAAGGACAGTGGCTGTCATTTCCCCACTGCAGTGGGGATCTTTGTTTTGGTAATTTCCATGAAGCTACCGGCAAGTGTGAGGCTGTTAATGCCCACTGATCGTCTGGCTGGGATCACCTGGCGTGCCATGGGGGGAAGATGTATTCACACTTGGGGAAAGTTTTCAAAATTATATAATAAATATACCAATAAGTAACAGTTGAGAATTTCAAACAGAATGACAAATCTGCAACAGTTGAATATTTTGTGTTAAACTCAGCCCACCCTGAAAGCTCATGGTCTATTAAAATTTTTGTACGCTGATTTCTACCAAACACACCCTTGCCATGAACTGGCAGTTTCGATACCGGCAGGGGATGACCCATATCCCTAAATATGAGGAACAAGGTAAGCCAAATCAAAAAACACTGTCCATAGTGTGTTTGGTTGACCGCTGCTTAAGCAACAATTTGCTTAACAGGCACCTGGTCACATTTTGAAGGCTGACAGGTCAACATCTTTCAGGAATATAGGCTGGTGGTAAGGAAAGGAAACAAAAAATACACTTACAAAAGTATTTTAAAAGGAATCCAGTCATCACTGGTGTGCAAGGATAATTCCTACCTCAGGTAGTCTCTGCGACAAAGGATAAGATTAGCTTTAGTGTACAGGGTGGAGCCCACCTCTCCCAAACGACAGTCACAGCAGGCACACTTCAGGCAGTCTTCATGCCAGTATTTGTCCAGTGCCTTTAGAAGATACCGGTCCTTGATCTTTCGGTTGCAGCCAGCACAACCTTTCGGCTTGGTGTCTGGCTGGACTGAGAGCATTTGTATACCTAAAAGGAGACAAAAACAAAAACAAAAAAAAAAGAAAAGAAAGAAAGAAAGAAAGCTGGAACTACAAGAAGATGCAAAAGATATCAAAAGACCTCAAACAAGTTAAATACTTAATACCGCCTTTTTCTAGGAGTATGAGACTTTCTTTTTTAGGGCTGTACTAAAATCCAACTAAATTTTGAAAACGGAAAAGCTCAGCCTCTATAAAGGCCTTATGAATCACTTCTGAAGTCATACATAAAAAGTTGTGAAAGTAATGAATTTGTGTTGTACACAGTAAAATGACGTTATACATACAAAGTTAAATAACATTAAATAATTCCATAGTGTCACCATTCTCTACATAACATGGTTGCTTTAGGGACAAAAGGTGAGTAAATGGCTAACGATCTTAAAGAAAGCTATTTAACAGATTATAGGAGTCCAAATTGAGGGGTTTTTAACTGATTAAAAATTTCACTTCACGTGTGCTTGAGGATGGTGCACACTACCCTCACCAGCATAAAGGTGCTCGTGAAGTACACAGTGCAGTCACCCCAAATCTCGCCAATGCCATGTTCCTTGTTTGCATCCGAATACTTCCTTCTGTGCCCTTGATATTTCAAAGTATTTACTATGTTAAAATAAAAAATGTATTTATGCTCACAAGCATCATTTAGTGCCTCTATTGATGGCAGATTACCTAACTATATACTATTACATACTTGCATATAAAACTAAAGAATTGGATTATATGATTTATTAGCATAAATGTGCACTTATTTATTTCATAGAAAACAACAGAAAGAAAAGTCTAAATACCTATAAAATTGCTCCTATGTAAATGTGCTATCTACATATATTATAAAATGCCATACTAGAAATACGGGCATATCTATATTTTGGAGATACATTTTTATCATAAATAAGGAGTCTAGCTGGGTTACTTAGATTTGATACCTTGACCAAAATTTGAAAGAATATTCCCCTGAGTTTCTTATCCTTTCCTAAGTGTCAAACACCCAGCTTTAAAAAAAATGCTGGATCAACTATTCAGAGTTTCCTATTTATCAAATAACTCATTTTAAGCACTGTAAAACACTATAGACATCTGTCAATTTAGAATTCCCTCATTTTACAAATTATGATACAGACGAGTAAGAGAGTTAAGGGACTTGCTCCAAGCTGAACAACAGTTACACCCTAGACTTGGTGGCCTTCCTACAGTCCGGACACCTCTCTGCTATGTCACACTTAAGGATACAAAACACCAAATGTGCATGCATTCGAAACCCTCAAGAGAAATGTCAAGCTACGATCTTGAGCATTTTCTGCATACTTCCTCCCTCCAAAAGAGTTAAACCTTCTTCAATTTTCTCTGGTGCCTGGTGATGAAGACTTCACTTCTATCACTTTCACTACCTTTTTCTTGTTTGAACCACACTGATAAGAGACATCCAGGCACCACAGCATCAGATGGATAACTTTCCTAGCTACAAATAACACATGAACTGCACATAATATTGTTATGATGTCAAAGTTCCACTAGAAAATAAATTCTCTGGTTAGAGCAATGGCACGGGGTGGGTGGGGGAAGCAGGGTAGCCTTTCCTTCAGAGGGATAGGCAGAGCTGTGGGTTCCGACGCTGCAAACTAGCAGCTGGCTTTGAACAGGAGAGCAGGTGGTATTCCTATAGTCTGTTTTCTATTCCTTTTCTTTGAAGGAGCTAAGGGTATAGTGTAGATTAATCATGACCCTTGATAGCTCTGCTAAATCTCACTCTCTAGAACTTCTGACAAATGAAGTTTCTTTGATCAGAACTAGTTACTGTCTTCTAACAAGGTTCCACAAGGAATGAATTCCATTAATTACAGTACAGATCATACCCTAGTGTCTCTTACCCACACACCTATGGGGAAGGAGAAATGTTGATTTACTCAGTGACATTGTGGATTTCATTACTGTAGACATCTAGAGGTGTGTTATGAGTGGCTATTCTAACTATCCAATTTATAAGGCTATTAATGCCATATCACAAAGCTATTTTTTTAAACATCCTTTTTAGTCGTAGCTAAGCTCTATTTCCAAGCTGTGTTACTACCATCAAGTGTGGAAGGTCAGCTCTCTTTATTCAAAATGCTTTGCAGCCATGACAGGGAATACCAACATTTGGCACAAGCAACACTACCCTGCTTGTCCTCACAAAATGTTTTTGTTGTGTTGACATTTTAATTTAGCACTCAGAGGCCAATTAATATCTGAAACTCTTGCATTCTGTTTGGCCTTGGACATAAAAGGAGTTTGATATTTTACACTCCATTCTGGTGCCTTCTTTTAGAGAACATCCTCACATTTTTCTTGAAAAGGAAATCTTTTCAATACTATACAACTTTACCAGTTGTAGAAAGAGAACTATTTTGTAGTCACCACTTTGCCATAAACCTGAAAGGCAGAAAGAAGTCAGCAGTCTCCTCTCACTACCCAGAAGAGCAGGTCTGGGTAGAGTTATGTGTGTAGGGCTGAGAAACATTGCACAAGTCGCTCCTAGCACATCAGGACTCAACTAGTTTTAGACTGGCATGTAAATTGTTCTGAGGGAAATTCTTATTGCCTCTGAGACCCTGCCATTCTGAGTTATTTGACAGTTTAAGGGAAATCATAATTTTTTTTAAAAAAAGACATAAATAATAGCCTGTGCAGTGTGGTGTGCAGAAATGAGTAGAACCATTTCATTTAAACTCTGGTGAGCTTTTAATTGCCTGGATTGCATTGTGAGGCGGCCTAACGGTTGATTGCCTCCATTATGTTCCCTTGTTCTGTGCCATTCATCCGCGCAGTCTCAGCTTCAGTAGTTAACACAACAAAGTAACCACAACTCCACAACACACAGGGGTTTAAAAAATAATCATAATAAAAGATTTGCAGCACTTAGACACAGTCTTTTATATTTTTGGACTAACTATACATAGTGAATGGAAAACATTTTGTCCCAGTCTTGTCCCCGTCGGAAGATTCACAGAGAACAATTTGGGAGAAGGAATTGTTAGAGGGAATACATAAAGGGGGCTGGCAGAGATGAGATGCCTCAGGAAGATGCTAAAATGGGAATGCAGGTTCTGCAGCTGGGAGCAGTGACACAGATTAAAAGAATTTGGCCAACATGGCCATTCGATTGCCAAGAGGTACCAAACAAAAGATTTTCTCTCCTCCTGCCCATCTTCATCCTCTCCCAGCCCCCAGCCCCAATTGGAGAACTGGATTGGGCCTAAAAGCTTGTTTCTCTCTGTTCACTGGCCCAGAGCATCCCTACAGGCTGCAGCCCCCTAAGGGACAACAATGCAAATAGATGTCCCCAGAGCGCAGACACTGGAGCTGCTTAACTCTGTTCTGCCCCTTCAACTCCCAACAGCCCCTCCCCATCTTTCTACCACCCCCTCCCCTTTTTGAGCAATGGAGCTGGGAACCAATTTGATTCCCTTTTTCTCCAATGCAGCTGCAAGGCTCAGAGATACTGACATTTTTCCACTCTTATCAGTTTAATTACAGTTACCATGGCAGCAAAGTGCTAGTGCTTGGCAAAGGCCAACAAGAGATTTGCAAGACTGAGTTCAATTTTGATGCAGCTCACATGCAAAATAAAAAAAATAAGAAACATACATACACTCTAACAAAGAATCCCTTGCGGAGTTACGCTCCAGCCTTTTGTGGTTGTGTCTTTGCAGCCACACAAGGGATGATTTGCAAAGAATGTAGCAGTATTTGTTGCACCTAGCCAGATTAATTGGTTTAAGCAGCAGTCTTTCAAAGCAGTTACAACAATAATATTTTGGATCTTTTAGAAAGACACAAAAGCAGCGGAAGAGTAGGGAGGCTTTTGAACAGCCGAGAGTGCCGAGCGCCGGCAAAGTGCATCCATGATAGATTGTAACCTTACCAAAACTTTTCTCCTTTTTCTGCATGAGTTGACTGAGGCGTGTCTGAGTTGCAGCGGCTTCGCATTGAGCACCAAGCCCAAAGGTAGACGTAGAAGGGGGTCTCCTTATTTAGCTCAAGCGTGGACCTGGAGCGCAGCCTACACCGCAGAGGACCCGACTATTGTGAAGCCACTTTGAGAGCCGGTCAGAGTGGTGGTAGGGGTGGGGGAAGGGACGAGTGTGGCCAGACGAGACGCGGCGCACACACAGAGCCCCTCGCACTGTGGCAGTGTGCAAAATGATGGCGAATGACAAAGCCACATGCTTCCCTAACTCTGCCCATAATCCTAAAATCCCAGCGGCCCCTTTTAGCTTCGTGGTAACAAATGGATTTGATTAAACTGTCACATGCAGCGTTAGCATAGCATATCATGTTCAATATGAAAAAGACCATAAATCTGAGTTGTATTTCATAACAGCTATCTGGGAAGCCCCCCGTAAAAATGTGCTGCCATCAGTTTGGATCTGAACCTATTAGGACATAGGCACCTGGCTCCACGGAATCTCGCTCTTCTGGCCACTTCTCCCCCTCCACCTCCTCCTTTCCAAACAGTCACTTTTCCATCTCTGGGAACCACACTGAGTTATGGCAGAGTGGGGAGAAGCAGAAGTGTCAACAAGAACCAAAGGGTTGCAATTTCAGCTCTTGGGGGTGAGGGTGGGGGGTCATGGATCCCAGCAAGTAAGGAGAAGGGGGCTCAGGAACCTACCTAGGACCCACTTCCCTGCCCGCGGCCCGGGCCAGAGCGTGCATCTTCTAATGCCAAACTCTCCCAGCCCCTCTGTCCCCGGAGAGTCAGGGGTGTGGAAATGCTGCAATTCAGCATGAAC